GAAGAGACAGGAGAAAAAAAAGAAATTTTACAAAAATCTCACCACTAAAAAAATAGTTTTCTCTCCTTCACATGCATTTTCCATAAATTCTCTCACACATCCTCCATGGGACTCTTCTCATGCAAACACTTGCTATTGCTTTTCCACTTACTTTTACAACAATAAAATCTGCAGTTTACTGTTTCTTTCACAGCCTGGGACAGGGGTGGGGATTGGGGTGGGGTTTGAGGGCTAACACACAAACATTTACATATCAGCAATTAACTCATTCACCTCCATTGTAACTGCTTGCAAAAACCATTTCACATACAAATATTTCATTTCATACTTTCTCCGGGCAAACCATTTATTTTTAAATAAGTCCTTTTTGTTTGTTGTTATCAGAGAGGGTTTTTTACCCTCTTCCAAGTCTTGGAAATAATGCAGAACAACACAGTCATATATACACAAATACTATTAAAACTACATTTATTTAGACATATGGCTTGTCCTGCAGGAAGCGAGAAAAATCATGAGGTGATTCCAACCAAACGTAGTTTTTATAGGGCCCTTTAACCATCTCTTATTTTTCTCACCTGTCATTTCCTGACAGTTAGAACAATTAACCAGTGGAACAACCTCCCTCCAGAAACGGTGAATCCTCCAACACTGGAAGTTTTCAAGAAGAGACTGGACAGCCATTTGTCTGAAATGGTATAGGGTTTCCTGCCTGAGCAGGGGGTTGGACTAGATGACCTCCAAGGTCCCTTGTCCCAAAGATGCTTTTTCACGAGACAATTGGGTTTTCGTGTTTTTCTTTGAAGACGTTTTGCTTCTCATCCAAGAAGCAAAACGTCTGTCTTCAAAGAACAATAAGGCAGTCCAGTTGCCTCGTGAAAAAGCATCTTTGGGACAGCTATGACCTGGATCACTGAGAATCTCCATGGACTCCAAGATTCCTTCCAACTCTGTTATTCTGTTATAGTTACTTAGGTTTTGTCGTAGCCAAAACATGACTCACTTTTTTTTTAATTTGTTTGTGAAATCCCAAAGGAAATTCTTGTTAGTTGTGTAGTCAGGGTGGTGGTAATTATATTCTCAAGGACTTCAAAGAACCTTCCTTTTACTCTTCCTCTTTGCCTCCTTGAGGATATAGCTAACAACTAATAACAGTCTGATTAGGCAACAAACATATATCTCATTTGGGATTTCGCTAACGAGTACCCAATAGCATTCTTCTCTCCCAACACTTGAGTACAAGGAAATACACACATAAACATACACACAGACATAAAGCAAAAAGAGAGACTGACTCATTTGTTAAGCACTATAGCAAATGTCAAATCAGGGCACAAATATTTGTTTTATTTATTTTATAAACTTCTATGCCACCTATCTCACTGAGACAACTCTGGGCGCCTTACCATAAAATGCCACGAAAACACTTAAAACAATAAATAAAACCATAAATTTAAAATGTCATTAAAATGTCAATTAAGCAAAATGGAAGGAGGGAGCAAAGGGCATATGGGGAAGAGGTGGAATCTGTCTCTAATCCACTAACCCAGTGGTTCTCAACCTGTGGGTCGGGACCCCATTTGGGGTCGATCGACCATTTCACGGGGGTCGCCAAGCAAGGCTGTCCGCCATTTTTTTTGTCCGCCATTTTTTTCCCCGCCATTTTTCCCCCCTTTTCCGGCGGGTGCCTTACCTCCCTTGGGCTGGGCCAGCTGGTGGTCGGCCTGCTCCGTCTCTGCCGCTTGCCAGCTACACCTCGGCCGGTGCAGGGGGCGGAACCACGCATGCATGGCGCTCCCGGGCAGGGAAAGTCCTCGACTTACGACCGGTTGGGTAGTCCTCGACTTACGACCGGTTTAGTCCTCAACTTACGACCGGTTTAGTTCTCAACTTACGACCGGTTGGGGTCGTGGCATTAAAAAGGTTGAGAACCACTGCACTAACCACCCCCAAGTTGTGGCTCCCCCATTTGGATCCCAAGCCAGTTGGCAGAGTCAGCTTTTTCAAGCCCTTTTGGAAGTCCCAGAAGGTGGCTGTGGATCTCACTTCGAGAAGCATGATGTTCCAGAGGGTAGGCGTCGTCAAGACAGAAAATACCTGTCCCCTGGACCGTGCTAGCTGAAATTCCTTGACCAATGCGGTCTGCAGCATGCCTCTTCTGGCCTGGGTGGAGCAGGCTAATCCCAGCGGGATGAGATAGTTTTTCAAATAATGCCATGATATCAAGTGCTTCAAAATTGATCAACAAAACTGTGAATCAAACCTGGAAGCAAACTGGCAACCAGTGCAGCTCACGGAACAGAACAGAATAACAAGAGTTGGAAGGGACCTTGGAGGTCTTCTAGTCCAACTCCCTGCTCAGGGACCATTTCAGACAAATGGCTGTCCAATCTCTTCTTAAAAATTTCCAGTGTTGGAGCATTCACCGCTTCCAGAGGCAAGTTGTTCCACCAGTTAATTGTTCCAACTGTCAGGAAATTTCTCCTTAGTTCTAGGTTGCTTCTCTCCTTGATTAGTTTCCATCCATTGCATACGGAATGGCAGTGTAACATGGGCCACCATCGGGGCCTCAAGAATTGCCCACATGGCTGCCTTCTGTACCAGCTGAAGCTTCTGGATAATTCTAGAAGGGTAATCCTGCGCAGAACATATTGCAGTAGTCCAACTGGAGATGACTAGGACTTGAATGAATGATGTCAGGGACTCCTGATCCAGGAAACATGGCAACATGGCACACAACACAAAATTGCACAAAGGCTCTCTTAGCCATTCATTGAGCAGGAGTCACAAGTCCAGACACCCTATTCCACCCCAAGTTGCACACCTGATCCATCTGGGGTAGTGCACTCCCATCCATCACTAAAGATGTTAAAAGTCCTGAAACCAGGATATTAATACCCTGTTTTGAGAAACACAGATATGTTTGATCGGCATGCAGATTCAAGATAAATTATCTGACTTATGGGGGGATATATCAATAATGAAACTTAGCAGTCCAGCGTATATACAAAGGTCCCCCCCTTATAGATCATTGAGGTTAAAGAGTAAACAATAACATAGCATTAAATAGCAGTTTTTAAAGAGTCTTTCCCAAAGGTCTTTTTTAAAAAGTGACATTTTCTAATTATTTCATAAAAACACGGGCTAGGAATGAGCAAAGAGGGTTAAATTTCTAGATTGTAGTAAATCGCTTAGGGTGGGGACAGCTTAAAAACGACAAAGATTGTTCAAAATGATCTCTCCAGATTGGGAAAAAATGAACATTAGCATAATACATGTGACTCAGTGGAAGCAGTGCTTGAGCAATAGTAATAACGGCAATTCTTAATTTCGCACTGACAAAAACAGAATAAAATAATAATAATAATGATGATGATGATGATAAAGTTGGAAGGGACCTTGGAGGTCATCTAGTCCAACCCCCTGCTCAGGCAGGAAACCCTATACCATTTCGGACAAATGGCTGTCCAGTTCCTTCTTAAAAACTTCCATTTGGTGCATTCACCACTTCTGGAGGCAGGCTGTTCCACTGGTTAATTGTTCTGTCAGGAAGTTTCTCCTTAGTTCTAGGTTGCTTCTCTCTTTGGTTAGGTTCCATCCGTTGCTTCTTGTCCTGCCTTTAGGCGCTTTGGAAAATAGCTTGACTCCCTCTTCTTTGTGGTAGCCCCTGAGATATTGGAACACTGCTATCATGTCCCCCCTCGTCCTTCTCTTCATTAAACTAGACATACCCAATTCCAGCAACCGTTCCTTATATGTTTTAGCCTCCAGTCCCCTAATCATCTTTGTTGCTCTTCTCTGTACTCTTTCTAGAGTCTCAACATCTCCAGTGATGGAGAGCCCACAATTTCTGGAGGCAAGCTGTTCCACTGGTTAATTGTCCTCACTGTTAGGAAGTTTCTCCTTAACAAGCTAGAACCAAAGTGTACAGGTAGTGCTCGACTTAGGACTACAACTGGGCTCCAAAATTTTTAGCGAGACAGTTGTTCAATGAATTTTGCCCCATTTTACGACTTTCCTTGCCACTGTTGTTAAGTGAATCACTGCAGTTGTTAAGTTAGTGAATCTGGTTTCCCCATTGACTTTGCTCATCGGGAGGTCACAAAAGGGGATCACATGACCTTGGGACACAGCAACAGTCATAAATACAAACTGTTCGCCAGGCATCCAAATTTTGATCACATGACCATGGGGATGCTGCAACGGTCATGAAGTCACTTTTTTTCAGCGATGTCGTAACTTTGAACGGTCACTAAATGAACAGTTGTAAGTCGAGGATTACCTATAATCTGAAATGCATCTCTGAATTGGAAAAAAACAAACAAACCCTCCATAAAAATAATCATCTATATTCCTAAAACATGAATGTGAAGGGAATAAAGGACAAGCACACCCTTTGGAGTTTTAATTCCATTGAAAGACACTTTCCAAATTTCTTTATATATATTTTTTGCAACAAGTAACAAAATTCATACTTAATGCAATTCTCAAGGTATACAGAATAAATACTTGGCAACGTACTCAAGGAATGAATCGACTAGGGTAGGGGTGGGCAACCTTGGCTCTTTTATGACTTGTGGACTTCAACTCCCAGAATTCCTGAGCCAGTCATGGCTCAGCTTGGAAACCTCTCCCTTTCCCCTCAGCATGGCTGGCTCAGGAATTCTGGGAGTTGAAGTCCACGAGTCATAAAAGAGCCAAGGTTGCCTACCCCTGGACTAGGGAGCATATCTAGCTATGAGTATTTTCAGCTTACTTCAGCCTCTGCAATTCATGGACAAAGACTGCGTCATTTTATTTTACTTTCAGCTCAGCCCCATGCAGGGGAC